TTTAACATCGAAAAACATAAAGAAAAAATTAATTATTTTTAATAATATGTGGAAATCTCCACCCTTTGCCTGATGACGGTTGCGACACTGGAAACATGTGTAGCAAAATTATGGAAAATAAAGCATAATATTTTTTTTAAAAATCCACATTACAACCAAAAACGTTTGTGTTTTCTCCATTTTTTAATACATATATATATATATATATATATATATATATATATATATATATATATATATATATTAAAGCTTATTATAAGATGGTTTCAAATCGGCTACGCCTAAAAGATGTAAAAATTTGCAAATAAATAAATGAATTAATATTTGCAAAAGAGGCTGTAAAAAGGTAACGCCTAAAAAAACCACAATGATGAACATACTATAAATACGTCCTTGAAGAGTATTGCATTAATAGCAGTAGGAACCTCGATGGACAATGAAAACACAATTGTTTTAATATATTTTCATGTTTATATGTTATTTTTATATGTAAAATTTATTTAAATAAATGTTTTTTTGTTTTTTTTATTTACAGTATTAATTACATTTACCAGTCTGAATGTTCGAGAAATTTCGTATAAAATATGCGTTCTCCGACAGCAATCGAACCTGTATTCCTATACGAAACCATCATTTGACCTGACGTGTTTTATCATTCAGCTACAGTGAAAAGCAAAATCCGAATTACAAAATATCTTCAAAGATTTTTCTCGATCGAGCATTTCTCTTCACGAAACGTATCTTAACGTAAACGATGACAACATATTATGAAATGGATTTATATATATATATATATATATATATATATATATATATATATATATATATATATATATTACAGTAAAAAAAAAGAAAGAACAGTAAGATATATAATCCGGTGTTCTTATTGATATTTTTATTTTTACAAAACAGTGCTCAATGTAAATTTACAGAGCATAAATGTAATTAAATTTGAAGTTTTTACCTTCGGTTTTTGAAACATGGTAATTCCTGTGTAGCGAAGAAACCATATTTTCAAATAAGTTATTTATTTATATATATATATATATATATATATATATATATATATATATTACTTGGAACGTTATTATAGTAGACATTTCTTATTTTAAATAGACGCAAATTTGTTATATATTAAACATATTGTATTACGTGTATCTGTCTTCGCATTCGCGAAATCTAATTTAAAAAAGTGACCTTATAGAAATTTAGAAAACTTTAGAAAATATCAGAATTCATTTAAATTATTCGTTATGTAAATCGACTTAAATTAAAGATTTCGAATCTGTTCTTGCCGTTGGTATGTATCCAATCTTCTTCTCCCCCAACAGCTATGGGAAAATAGCAGGACAGACCGTGTTCTATAGCCTTGGATGGCAACTGGTCTACCGTAGAAAGAAATGGCAACCAACTGCGGGGAAAAATTTACTGCCTATCGAAAGATACATGACCGCCTAAGTTTGTATCAATCAAGGCACATAACTAACTGACTGATTGACTTTTGCCGTTGTCATGACAGCACAACTGACGCGGTGACTTTGATTTCCGGATTCTATATTCGTGTTACTGCCACCGGTTCCTCGGACCATCAGACGCCGTCTTGCACGCATAGTTATTCGCAAATCAAATGTCGATCACCTGATACGTAATCTATGAATGTATCCTACAAAATAATAACCTTCAGAGTCCATCTGGAGTGGTGGGTTGTAAATCTGGCTGTTTGGCAAAAAACGACAAGTAAATGGAATTTATATTTTGATATATGGTAGCATCGACATCGAAAGCCAAGAAAGATTTTTGTATGGGGTGTGGGCAAATGACAGAGTTTTATAATAGCCGCTTTCGTTCGTTTTACCCAAAAAGTAAATTCATATTGTTTCTTTATTTGTGAAACAGACAATAATCGGATAGAAATAAAACATTTCATTTCAGCTTGTCTGAGATAGATTTTTATGAATTTCCAAAGGGAAGTCATTTGTGCTGCATTAAAAAGATGAGCCTGTCTTCATCGATGACAGGTGATCAAAAAGTAATACAACCTGTCATCCATATCTATACAATGGAGATAAAAAGTCAATGGGATTTAAGAAAGCCTCATCCCAAAAACCGATAAGGTCCTTATGAGGTTTAAATCATGTAGACAATCACAAAATTTCACTCTCTTATTTTGAATAGTTATATCTCTATCAAACTGTCTTTTCCAATATATATATATATATATATATATATATATATATATATATATATATATATATATATGTGTGTGTGTGTGTGTGTGTGTGAAAATATATAGAAAATAGGAAGGAACTGGTTAGGTAAATAATACAAAGTTCCTTAGTATTTTAGTTATTATTTTTTTAAAATAGTGCTCGATACAAAAGTAGAGCATAAATATAATTATTTATTTAAAAATATGATTCCAAATCGCGACATAAGAGGTCTCATGTTTCGAAACAAGAGCCGAAAAATTCAATATAATTATTTGAATTAAATTGAGTTAAAGTAAGCTCTGTTCCATCATCAAGCGAATTTTTTTTTTCTTTTTGGAATAACGTATTTCTGTAATTTACGTGTTTTAATAATTGAAATCAAAATTTCCATGGTTTGATTTCAATTATTAAAACACGTAAATTTCAGAAATACGTTATTCCAAAAAAATTTCGCTTGATGATGCAACAGCGCTTACTTTAACTCAATTTAATAATTATATTGAATTTTTCGGCTCTTGTTTTAAAAAATGAGACGTCTTATGTCGCGAGTTGGAATCATATTTTTAAATAAATAATTATATATATATATATATATATATATATAAAGGCGAACAGAGTTCAGCACCGGGTCCACAAATTCACCAGGTTAATTGTGACATATGCGAAAAAGTGTGCCTATCTTTTGCCGGCTTCAAAAGCCATTTGCGTAAATGTGCAAAATCTAGTGTGCACCCGAATAATGTTACTGTAAACAAAGCTGATTGGGTATGCCAATTCTGTGGCAAAATTTGAAACACTAAAACGAATTATGTCTAGAACAAAAGATTTTTTTTTAAACTGCGCGCTAAAGATGATAATTTGAATTTGTCGAAATTACTTGGCATGTGTCTTCCATCTGACAATTGAACGTAGGGCATATTCGATTGGTTGATCAGGGTAAAGCCACGAAGCCTGATACCTCTGTTTTTTTTTGTTTTTTTTGGGGGGTGGGGTATAAAAAAAAGGTTGTATTTTGCTTTTGAAACCAAATTAATTGTTCATTTGCCAGTAATTTACAATCGCCTGAGGAGACGCATTGGTATGTGTCGAAACACGACTGCTATTGTATAACGATTTTACATGTCATCTTAATATCCTAAAATAAATACTATTTTCCTACTCTGTATTGAGCTCTCTTTTAAATTAAACGTACGAACGTTAGAATTGTACTGTATTCGTTCTCATCTTACCTGGAAATATATATATATATATATATATATATATATATATATATATATATAAAATCTGTAAAGCGTTTCGTCATTCAGAATTACATCGGACTATAGTGATATTTCTGTTGATCTAACTACTTATGTACACGAAGAGAGGGTGAGAAAAACGTAAATGTTGGTGTAATTATGTAAATATAGAAAACACTGAAAATGTTTGACCATTGAAAATTTAAACTTTTAATTTTTTAAAATCTATCTCTCGCACGCACGCACACACACAAACATATCTCTCTCGCTATATATATAACATCACACACTACGAAATGGACGATGTCCGACAATTAGTTTAAGATATTTTCTGTTTATTCGTTATTTTTATAGATTCAAATATTTAAATAAATTTTCTGTTTATAATAAATAGTATTAACCACATTTACCGGTCTGAATGTCTGAGTAATTTTCATAAAAAATATGGGTCCTCCGACAGGAATCGAACCTGTATCCTACACGGAAACGTCATAGTTAGCAAGACCGATTTTACTGTTTTTAAACTACAATTTCTTATGATTTTACTCGAATATTAATTCTGCTCGAAGCGTATCCAAATGTAAACAGATGACGTCACACACTACGAAATGGACAAAGTCCGACAATTAATTTGATATATTTTCTGCTTATACGTTATTTTTATAGATACAAAATAAAGTCAACCTTGATAAACAAGACGTTCCTCTGTGGCTAAATCGGTAAAGCATGTCAGGCTATATGACAGTTCCATGAAGGATACAGGTTCGATTCCTGTCGGAGGACACATATTTTCTATGAAAATGTCTCGGACCTTCAAGCCGGTAAATGTTGTTAATACTGTTTATTATAAACAGAGCGTTTACTTAAATATTTGTATCTATAAAAATAACGTATAAACTGAAAATATCTTAATATACATATCCTTATTGACGCCTGAACTGTGGTTTATACTGCAACTATGCTGAGCAGACCTTAGTCACAGTTTCTGGGAAAGAGCGTGTTATCTAGCGTGATCAACAATGTGAACAAGGCCAGCACGCTCAAGCCCTCGGCCACGATGACTTGTGATTTCGTGCACAGCTGTCGACGGCACCCAAGGGTTCCCTCTACCTAATTTCACCCACAAGGCTTGGCTCAACCCGTGGTATGGTTTTCAGGCACTTTCCAAAGGTGCCGCACGCCGGGATCGACCCCTCAAGTCTGATAATATCAAGTAGTCACCTTCCTGACAAATCGCCCATGGTGAGATTCGAACCCGAGCCACATTGTCGGAATGCGAACGTTACGACCACGTGACCATAATCGTAATTATAAAATATACAAATTATCTACAAAAATCATTATCATAAAATCATAAGATTTTAGATTGTAAGGATCTTTTGCAGATAGCAATGATTTACTAATACAAATTCTAATAATTAATCTATCGCTGTAAGTTCAGGCTTATCCCAAGGGTATTAGCGAGTAAGTGAATATAAAGAATCTGAGTCGAATTGGATTATCCAATTCCGAGCTTGTTATTCATTACACCATCTACACATCCAAGCTTAATGCACTTGGTATTCCCAAACGGTCACCCATCTAGGTTCTGACCAAGTTCGACGTTGCTTAACTTCGGTTTCAGTACGGGAATCGGTGTTTCAACGTGACATGGCCGTAAGCCCTTTATACCACCCTCACGTCTAAGCTTACTTCACTTGGTATTCCCAAGCGGCCACTCATCTAAATACTGAACAGGCTTGACGTTGCTTAATTTCGGTGATCATACGGGAATCGGTGTTTCAACGTGATATGGCCGTAAGCCCTTTATACCACTCACATTTTAAAACTCATAACACCTCCCCCCCCCAGCGGCCAGACTCGATGTTGACAAACTTCAATGATCATACGGGAAACGGTGTTCAAACGCAATATGGCCGTATGTCCTTTATACGACCTGCACATACAAGCTGACAGCACCTGAAATTCCCAAGCGATCACCCATCAAGGTACTTACCAAGCTCGACGTTGCTTAACATCTGTGATTATAGGGTAACCAATGTTTCAACGTGATATGGCGTAAGCCTTTTATACCACCTGAACATCCAGGCTGACAGAATCTGGTATTCCCAAGCGGTCACCCATCAAAGTACTGACCAAGCTCGACGTTGCTTAACATCTGTGATCATAGGGGAACCAATGTTTCAACCTGATATGGCGTAAGCTTTTTACACCACCTGAACATCCAGGCTGACAGATTCTGGTATTCCCAAGCGGTCACCCATGTTTATTCTGACTAGACTCGACGTTGCTAAACTTAATAAAAACTACAAAGATTATTTTTATTAGTTCTAATGATTTTTTTAGCGGGAGTGATTTGTTAATTTGTTCCTTTATTTATTTATTTGGCTTCATTTTTACTTATTTTTTTCTTAATTATTTGCTTATTTTTTATTTTGTATATATTTTTTACTCTATTCGTTTTATAAGTTTTGAGTAACTTAGTGTTTTTTATAGTTATATAGCAGTTATAGCTATTTTCAAGTCCATTTTTTGGATTGATTGCTGTAATCTATCTAACGGTTATAGGTTTGTTAATTTGTTTATTGTTTACTTGTATTTTATGTATTTATTTTTTATTTTATTTGTTCTATTTCGTCTATTCTGACGGGAGTGGTTTGTTAATTTGTTTATTATTTGACTGGGTTAATTTATTTTACTTGTTTTTTTTTTATTATTTTATTTATTTTTATTTATTCTTTTCAGTTTTCGATTTTTAAGTAACGTAGTAAAAATTTGTTTTCGCGTTTGCATTTTGAAATGAGCTCAGATCGTTTATTTAGTAATTTATTTTGAATATGGAAGGTAATAACAACTATTTTTCCTCCAGGCAAAGTTTGCAGGTTTTGGATTGATTGTTGTAGGGTGATGATCTTTTCTTTATTTTCCATGATATTTTTGGTGTGATTTCCGTTTTGTTTTTAATTTCCTAGATATACTTAGAAAGCATTGTTCTGTTCGCGCATTTATTATCTGTGAAAGATGTTTTGTGTGTATAGTTTCTTTGTTTCCACGGTCCTTCAGTTACTCTTATATATACTTCTTCTTCATTATCTGGTGATTTTACCGTGGCTTGGTATATTAGGTTGTTTTGTAAGCAATTACCGTTTAAGGGACATACCTTCTTTATTGTACAGTTTCACGTGGGTTTAAATTGTTCGGCTGGTTTGTGGATAATTTTCCTGTTCTATTTTATTATTTATCCCATGTTCTCAGTGCAACTTTAGCTGATTTTTACAGTGTTTTTTAATATTTTGTGTAGAGTGATATATATATATATATATATATATATATATATATATATATATATATATATATATATATATAAGACCAAAAACAATAAAAGAAAGACAATATGGTGTTTAGCTCACCTTTCTGTAAGCTGTCCAATATAAATAGTCAGATATTTTCTAAATCAACAATATTTAACCATAATAACCACCTACACAGAATGGTCAATAGAAAATCTCTAAAAGTCAGTTATTCCCGCACTAGCAATATACACAGTATTATTAACGCACCAAAAAGTGATGAATATTTGTATATATTCATGAAATAAATTATATTCGAATTGATTTGTAAGATCGTCTTTACTTATTATATATATATATATATATATGTGTGTGTGTGTGTGTGTGTGTGTGTGTGTGTGTGTGTATATTAATAAATATACATATCCCTCGCCACTAATACGACTCGGATTTTCATTTACGGCGCAGTCTTGTAGTACAGAGGATGAACTAACCTTTACGTAATTTGAAAGTGTAATCTACCTGGTTATCATAATGTTGGCATAGTTATTTATTATGCTAGGATTACATAGTTATTTATTATGCTAGGATTTTTATTTCAAAAAATTATATTCGGCAATTAAAAGAAACCGGATATATATATGTATATAAGAAAAAAAAATTAAAATTATAAACCTCTTTTTTTTTCAGATCTGATCATTCGTTTCTAAAAAAATAATTAAAGGGAGATTACTTGTTCTTATTTAAAATATATATATATATATATATATATATATATATATATATATATATATATATATATGTGTGTGTGTGTGTGTTTGTGTGTGTGTGTGTGTCACGATTTAGAGAAATATTAATTGGCAATACAAGTATACTCCACCATGAAAATAAAAACAAAAATTTTAAATTCTTGAAGCCCTCTATATACGAATAATATAACCAACACTAAGTAAGTTTAATTATGAGTAAAGCAACAATGTTTTTAAATGCCTACAAAAGCAATGTTTTGTGATAGTCAATTTTTTTTTTATTCATAGTATTGCATAATATCTAAGTTTTTACATTAGAATAGAAAAAGTGCCTTCCAGAATCTAAGCAATTTATTAAGGAACAGGAAAATTTCGCTAGAAACAAAGAAAAGAGTACTAACCTATTTCGTAATGTCAGTCAACAAACAGTGCTGTTCGATAAAAGTGCTGATTTTTTTTACTAAAAATATTTTTGTCTATTGTTTTGGGGTTAAAATAATTTTTAATCTTACTAATATAAGGACCCCTTTTCGACCACCTAGGAAAAAAGTTTATTTACCCTAAGTTAATCTATTGATAATTATAAATTTGGCTATAAATGAGATTCAGGAAAATAATCTGTGCAAAAAAGTGACTCAGATATCGCATTCTAATGATTAAACTAGTAAATTCAAAGAACATTTGACAAAATATTGAAAACTATTTTACAATACACTCAGAACAATATTCTAGAGAATTCTAGAAAAGCTTAAATTAAATCTAGAGTATTCCAGATTATTCCAGAAAGCCTCATACAGTATAAAAACAGCTTGAAATAGTCACTAACCAGATGAAAGGGTACAAACACGCATCAGAACCACATAAGGCATCTATTATTGCCCTCTCAAAAGTTGGCAAGTCTACGAGAGAAATTGCTATAACCTCGCAATCAACTGTCTCTCGAGTGCTTAGGGCACATAATGATGCCACTCCTGCTCCAAGGAAGGAAACAAGGGGACGAAAGAAAAAGATTGATGATAGAACTGGCAGGGTAATCAAGAGAGAAGTTGCGAAGAATAGGACTATAACTAGCCAAGAAATTGCAGCCAGTCTAAGCGAAGAGCAAGGTGTTAGTCTTGCCTCTTCAACAGTCCGTCGGTGTCTGTTAGAACAAGGCTACAAATCTTGTACACGAAGGTTTAAGCCGCTAATAAGCAAAGCCAAGAGACTTGAATGGGCTCACTATTAAAAAAATTTCACCATAGAAGACTGGAATAATGTTCCATTTCTCCAATGAAACGAAAGTTGAGCTAAATTCAAAGGATAAGCGATCTAAAATCCGAAGAAGAAGCTTTGAAAGCTCTTTGAATTTAGTAGTAAGTACTGTCAAGCATCCGTTCAGTATAATGTTCTGGGGATTATTTTCTTTTCATAGAACTGGTTTCTTAAAACCTATTGAAAAGACCCTCAGGAGCGAGCAGTACAAGAGAATTTTAGAGTCTTGTCTGCTCCCTTCTGCTGAAAGGGTGCAAATCGACCCCACCAAGCTCATTTTTATGCAGGATAATGCTCCCTGTCACAAATCAAAATTGATGAAGGAATACTTTGATGAGAGGCAGGTGAGTGTTATGACATGGCCGTCCCAATCTCCTGACCTCAACCCCATAGAAAACTTATGGAGCATTATAAAGTACAGGCTCTCGAGAAAGCAGTTGAGCAACAAAGAGGATTTGATTGTGAATTTCATATCCGAATGGAATTCAATGCTTGGAGATGAGGTTTGCCAGAACCTAATCAAGTCAATGCCAAAAAGGGTTGAAAAGGTTATTCAAAATAAAGGAGGACCCACAGATTATTAAATATTTCGAACTATATTACCTATTATAAATAAATTATACCTCCATTATTCTTTATTTAAAGCTGTTCGGTTATGTTTCTATTGATTACTAGTTGCAGGAAATAAGTGAGTCACTTTTTTTCCCTAAATCACATTTATATCCAAAATTATAATTATCAATAGAACACCTTAGGGTGAGTAATCTATTTTACTAGGTGGTCGGGAAGGGGTCTTTATATTAGTAAGATTAAAAATTACTTCGACCCCATAAACAATAGGCAAAAAAAATTAAGTAAAAAAATCAGGTGAGTCACTTTTATCGAATAGCACTGTATATGGTAGTGAATGCTAAACAATCTACTCGCAAATGAAGAAAGGACTTGAAGCAATAGAAATAGGGTTCTACAGAACCATGAATTAAACACGTAAGCAACGTATAATGGAAACTAAAAGGACACATATATTTAAAATCAAAATAAGACAGTTGATATTTCTAGGCACATAACGCACCAGTCTAGTACTTCTTTCTTTGTTTCTAACGAAATTTTCCTATTTCTTAATACTTTGCTTAATTTCTGGAAAGCACCTTTCTTTTTTCTAATGTAGAAAAAATAGGTATTACAAAGCAGTTCAATCACATTTTTCTTTGTTTCTAACAAAAATTTCCTGTTTCTTAATACTTTGCTTAATTTCTGGAAAGCACCTTTCTCTATTCTAATGTAAAAAAACAGGTATTACACAGCACTTCTGTATTCTTTTCTTTGTTTCTAACGAAATTTTCCCGTTTATTAATATTTTGCTTTGTTTCTGAAAGCATCTTACTCTTTTCTAATGTAAAATATCAGATATTCCCAGATGTTCTTTATCGCCATACCCAGGATGATCCACATGTGTTGGTCGTGTTCCAATGTCTGAGTCTCTGGAAAAGATCTTCCCGCCCTTTAAGCAAATTTAGCCTTTTCCTACTCACTGCTAATTCATCTTTTGCCTAAGAAGGTTGCCTGTATTTTGACCGAAGAAATTTATTATATAGGAATAAAGTGTCGTTGTCGACACTTGAATTTGAACATAGATCGCCAGTGAGCAAACACAGGCGATCCAATTATTGAATCCAGTAGATTACGTGATCATAGAGGAAATGCATATATGTAGGAAGTAGCTGACGACAAATTGATCGCTATTCCTAGACTATCCTCTATACTAATCGGATCACATTTTTAGTTTATCCTCTATACTATACGAATCGCTATGTCTACTCTATCCTCTATACTATACGAACCGCTATTCTCTACTCTATTCACTATACTATTTCTCTATTGAGATTACTATTCGGTGGTTACTT